AAGCTTGCAGATGAGAAAGTCATGGGAGAAGGTTCCAATGAAGCAAGTAAGCCTACAGATGGGTCTCTGATGGTACAAACGCCTGTTCAACCCAACAAGCTTGCAGAGCAAGAGAGCGATGAAACAAGCAGACCTATGGAGGAATCGGCGATGATGGAAGATCCATTTCAAACAGGCGAACCTGAAGAAACATCGAAATTGATGGAGAAATCGACTCTCACAGACAAGCCAGCTGAGGAGCCATCTATGGAGCAACACTCTGACCAAACCGACAGGCTAACAGAGGCATCTTCAACGGTGGAGAATATTCAKACTACCAAACAAGCTGAGGAATGTCCCATGGTGGAAAAGGATAATACGGTTTTAAATATTGTTTCATCAACATCAACTGCCAGTCTGGACATGAAAGGCGATAAACCATCTCCTTTATTTAAAGAAGAGGTTGATAGAGGTGTTGTCATGGAAACCGATCACCATGGAAACGCCTCGGAAACTGAAGACAAGCAATACTCCGTCCAAAATGAATCGAAAGGTCCTTTGTGTACTGCAAGTGAAGACGATATGGATGTCGATCAGTTAGATCAGTTAGAGAGCCAMTCTACAGACTCTAGTCCGGTAGGTCAAGGTTCAACCACAGGGTAACCCGTTCTGGATAAACCAAGAGGATAGATAGATAACACAGGGAGCCCAACACTAGGGAAGATGAAGTGTAGTGCTGATAGTGATGATTCTCGTATGGAACAGAATAGGTGATCACCCTAAGAATGTAAAAGAGATGTTAGAAAAAGTAGTATTGAAACATGAAATTGCACCACAGAAATTAAGGGATGAAATAGAGATAGGGATCAGTCCGTAACCATGGGAACAGTGATGGGAGGGCCCAGCCCGTAACAAAATGGCAAACAGTGATGGGAGCGACTAGTCCGTAACCATGGCAACTGACGTGAAAGACGAAGGTCATCCGCCAGAGAAGCGCCAAAAAAGCAATAGTTTTTCACTAATCGGTAAAAAATGAGAAATGGTCGTAACTATGGTAAAGATAACTCATAAGGAATGTCCAATAGGAGAGATTGAAAGCCAATTTTATGTTGAAACATTTTTTTGGCTAAGAATAGAAATTTTAAGAAATTTTGCCGGAATTTTAGGTCTCGAGCTTATGGTAAGAAATTAAGTGATTGTATTATATTTGTTTAGTTTACTTGTATTAGGTAGCCAAGCTACCGATTAATGTTACTAGAATTCATACTCTAGTATAAACTTCTCTGTTGCTCAGGGTTAGCCTCGACTTTGTACAGGATATTCATGTGTTCCAGTGAAGGTCCATGGAATAGGACGTTTGCATGATGGCGTCATTTTACTCCCACGACCAAGATGCTTCGTGAATTTTCTTTCTTATTCAAATTTGTATTTCCTCATGAGAATAGTAAGACTGTTAGCAAATAGACATCAGTTTTTTATGTGTCTGTACTCTTGACGATAAATTGCGGCATCACATTGTCAAAGTAGTGTGGATACTACACCGCATACTACTTTGACAATGTGATGACGAAATCTATCGTCAATAAGAGGACAGACACATAAAAACTGATGTCAATTTGTTTTTTACAATAACAAAAAACGATAAAAGCGTCTCATTTTTACTGAACAAAACAACTAATGGAAAGAGCGCGCGCTCGTTGACGTCAGCTTTATCTGTCTGTCCTCTTATTGATGATAAAAAATAACCAATCAGCGCGCGAGAARTTTGTAAATTATTGTAAAATTGGTACTATTTAACGGAACAAAATCATGCAAGGGAGTCTGGTAGTGAGTCTGGTAGTAGGATTCAAATGACGCCACCATGCAAACGTCCCATTTCAAAGTGTTTGTATTGTTGAAGCTGTGTTCTTTGCTTTACTGTTGGTATTTATGAATATTTTGACACTGAAAAGACACTAAATAACCCTGAGTAAATGAGTCTGCAATCAAGGAACACATTCGTAGTTCACCATTTCGAAAAACGTTCTAAAATTTTAATAGATAAAAGAAGTAGTCAAAGTTACTTGTTAAGAATTCACTTCAAATCATAAATAAAACACCTTTATTACCCTATATGCTTGCCTTAAGGTGACTGCCTACTTTTGGAAATTGATTTAAGCTTTTTTTAAAACTTCGATTTTCCGAATTGAAATTTAATGCTGATTCCA